CCATACTACCTGAGCTTCCTTTTTGGGTCATTGTTTTGACACTTTTTTTGTATTTCGTTCCCTAACTTTAAAATTGAATTGAAATGTTTTTTTTCGATTTCATTATCGCTCATTTAGGAATTGATTTGTTTTCTTTTTTTCTTTCTAAACCTAATCGCGTGCAATGCGAGTCCTAAACTTTCCCTTCAAGTGACCTTCTGCAGAGGTATCGGAGGGGCAAAAGGAAACGGCACTTACGGTTTCCTATTTCTCCGTCTCCTTTCCGGATCAATTTTCCAGCTCGTCACATGCGGGTTGTACCTTCGTAGACCATCGTTCTGCTTCCCTTCCTGCTGGTTCTGCATGCTGAAGGATTTCAAAATCCACGTAGCGAATGTGCAAAAGTTTCGAACTTTCCACAACTGGCGATTTTACAGAAACTCCAAGAAGATTCTGGTTAATTGTCCACCACTACTGCACTTAGAAAATCCTACCGACAGTAGTTATTCTAACGCGGGACTGTGACGATTCAAGGTCACCGATGGCATTTTCCATCAGCAGTGTACCAAAGCCAGTTCTTCGTAAGGGGGGTCATGTAAAAGAAGTAAAGGTCACGCCGAAGAAGTGGAAACTGTCACCATTAGGGGGTGTAGACAGGTGTACGGGGACCCCTGGGGGTGGGTAAGGTAATTACACCTGTGTCGAGGTGTGACGTCATAGTGCCTTTTTGGCGCCTCCCCTTGGGGAAAAAGTGGTGTCACTGATTAAAAAACATTTTATGACGTCATAGTCGCTGGTGCCTTTTTGGCAATTGCACCCCGGTAAAAAAAGGGGTTCGTAGAAAAAATAAATTTCGTAGTGCCTTTTCGACACTACGGGGGGTGTGGGGGTGCGGGGGTGAGAAATTTTTGAGAGCCGAAAAAAGCGACCGCCGCCGCCGCCGATGTCTCGCGCGGGCGGGATTCGAACCGCGAACCTTCGGAGATAAACGCCGACGCTCGCGCGCTGTTCCCCTAGCGTAACTGGGGGCCGGCACGTTATCGCGTCGTCGTCGTCGTCGTGTATGCGCGCTGGTCGATATAATTAAATAAATGTGCACCGATAAAATTGATGATTTATTTAAGACATTTACATTGATAAGTTTGAATAGAAAACAAATTAATATCTAAAAAGGTTGTCGAGGTGAATGCAATTAAATAAATGTGCACCGATAAAATTGATGATTTATTTAAAACATTTACATTGATAAGTTTGAATAGAAAACAAAATAATATCTAAAAAGGTTGTCGAGGTGAATACAATTAAATAAATGTGCACCGATAAAATTGATGATTTATTGAAAACATTTACAAAGTATTGACATCCGATATAAATTTGCTAAACACCACAACGTATTTCTTCTTCTTCTTCTTCTTCTATAGGGTATGTTCTAAATCCTTGTTTTTTTGGCCGCTGGTGGTGACGACGACGACGACGACGACGACGACGACGACGACGATGATGGAATAACTTCGTCGCAATATAAACTTATATTGTTCGAACGATTTGTTGATTGCGAACAATATTTTATATTACATATTGGATGATTTTTAATGGATTCTTCACAAAAGCAAAAAGATTTGTTACAGCTATTACAGTACTTGGTACCGTTATAGTAGTAGACTTTGGAGTTTTCCGAAACATCTTGTTTCACTTTTTTTTCGGTTGTTGTTGTTACGTAACGATCACTATTCATGGCTGCTGCTGCTTCGTACTTGACTAAACACTTTAACGCAAATTTTCAGTGACTCGACGTTAGAATGCTGTGAAAAAAAATTGTATTAAATTATGACTACAGAAAACAAATAGGTTCTTACCTTTTAATAATGTCTTATTTAAAATTGTTGAGTTTTGCTGCTTATGAAATTGAATTAATTAAAACAAAAATGATAAAACAAGTGAGTTTTTGCTGCTTATGAAATTGTATTAATTAAAACAAGTGAATATTTTTTTAACATAAAATTTAATTTGTTTTATATCCCCAAGGCAATGTATCAGTAAATATATAATTAACCACTCTCTTATCATCGAACGGTGTTAAAACAATTTTCCTTTGGTTTACCGTAAAAACTTCATGGTTTTTACTACGAAACAGATGTTCGTTGGTATACATTTGAGTTTTATCAAACAGACAATTATAATAGTCTTCAAAAGTGATTGTTTTTAATGACGAACCGGTAATACCTTTGGCTTTTTTAATAGTTTCGACTTCTTTTTTGTTAGAAGATTTTTCTCGTTCTACATTTGAATAATATAATTTGATCGCGTACATTTTAGATTTTAATCCGATAAATTCGTGCATAATTCTACCGTTGTTTTCGTCTTTCATCAATCCCAAAACTTTTTTATTAGCCAAAGGAATATTATAAATGTTATCGGGAGGATAATCAGAAGTGTCAAATTTATGAATATCTTCTCGAATACATTTATAAATATCGTCAACGTAAAAATTATATATTAACGAATCTGTATCTGAATACAAGAGTTTTACATCCTTGCCGAATTTTGGTATAATATAATGATAATGAAAATCGTATAAAAATGTTTTTGAAATTTCTAAAATACTAAAACCAGCGTAAATGGGTTTATTAAATTTAATATTCAATCTCTCCATTTCAATGATAACCATGTCATTGTCGAAAATTGTTAAGCTATGAAAATTTGGTTTTGAAATATAACTCTTTGCACCGTATCGTCCCGACCAACTTGTTACCAGTTTAACGTCTTTATATTTCCGAACGTTTTCCATAGTCTTGCCGAAAACGGCATTATTCATTAATTTAAAAAAATTTTTTTCGAATTCGTTTTTGCTTTGCTGCCTCAAGTGTGTGTTTAGGTCAATGTAGGTTTTCAACCACGGAGATTGGTTAAATTGTAATATTTTATGAATTTTTGTAACACGTAAACCTAACTGAAGAGCCTGTTTGAGATTTTTATAATGTATTACGTAGTTTTTTTTATCAAACAATGTTGTCAATAATTTCGGCTGTTTTGTTTGACCCGTTGGTGGAATCAAACGTTCCGGACATAGAGGTAGATCTTTGTGGATATCGTGAAGTATTGTAGGATATTCTATATCTACTTCAAGAAGATACCCAACGTCAGAATCGTCCGACGTGTTTATGATAGAATAAAATGCGTTATTATCGATCCATTGGAACCCACCCGTCGGTAGTGGTAGTCTCATTGCCGTTCCATATAGGTTATTTACATCGAAATACATTAAATATGATGAAGGAATGTCTGGATTATAATCGTTTTCCATGTATTTATTGTTAGCCTTACCGTATCGGTTACTGCATTGTGAAATTCCACCGCGTATTCCTTTTTCGATCATCATTAATTGATCGATGTCCGTAATTAATTCTAGTTGAACATTTGAAATGAGAAGACATGCATCGTATGCCAGACCCGGTGCCGTGTAATATTTCAAACATTCCAAGCCATACGTTTTTTGACATACATTTCTGAAATTTTCGAAAACGTCCGTCAATAATAGTACGTCTGTTTTCAAATACAATTCCATATATTCGCGTAAATTTTGAATTTTGAATGTTGTCCAAATATTTTTGGCATGCTCGTAATCTTTTATCGTAATACCGGATTTTCTAAGTTTACTATAGAAATTTTCAATCGGGGGCAATTCGACGTCGTTCAATTTTTCCCAATCATCTAGATATTCATACGGAAAGACTCCCTTTTTCTGTAACAACTGAAATTCTTCGAGATTTTCGCAAAAGCTTCTAGTAATGTTTTTTTCGCTAGGGTCTAAATAAGAACTTAACTTATCCAAACTACTAGCCATAAATCTGAATGAATCTAAAAATCGAAAATTAACGCTCGTGTTTTCGATATATTTTGTAAACGATATATATTTTTCTTTGTTACGAGGTAGTAATATTACCGAACCGGGAATTTCAGTTGCCAAGTTTTTAATAAAAAAGTGTAGATCGTATCCTAAGTTATGAAATACCACGGGTATCATATGATCGTCCTTGTAATTAAGATTGCAAGAAGAATGAGCAACTCCTCGATATTTTCCCGTGAAATGACAATGATCTTTTACTCTTAAATCATTTTCGGTAAATGGTTTTGAACAAATGTGACATGTGGTTGATGTATAAAATGATTCTTTTTCATGTTCAGTCAAAGGTGTCATTGAAACAGCATTGTTAAATATAGGATTTAATTGTAGGGCCAGTTCTTGTAATTGTCGACAAAACCAGCTCATACAATCTTTACCCGTATACAAGTTAAATTTGGAAAGATTATTATCGTAACTGCACAACAGATAATAAGAAATACTACAAGGAATATGTTTTTGATATTTTTTAATGTTTCCCGTCGCAGCGGAATCTTCGTATTTTTGTAAAATACACTCGATATCCGCGTAAATAACAAACGGTACTTTTTCTTTATTTTTAAAATGCGAAAATGTTACGTGTTTCTCTTGTTCAGTCGGGAGCGTAATTTTGGTTTTATTTAATTTTCTGCAACTAAATATGTGTTTATTTAAAGTTTGTTGTGAATAAAAATGATTTAAGCACCTATCGCAATAAAATCTGCTATGAGTCGAATCTCCGCTTTGTTTCGATAATAACCGTGATAAACTTCTAATTAATGCGAAATGAAAAACTGTCTCAAAATTGTTAATGTGATTAGAGAGATTATTGTTGTCGACGTCGTCGTCGTCGTCGTCGTAATCATTGGTTATATCGGTGGGAAGCATCAATAAATTAACCGTTCTTAAATAAGAGAATTGACTTAAACACGCCGGTACAATTTCCCGCTTTTCTAATGAGAAAACGTTTATGGAAATATTATTCATTTCTTCAAACTTTTTTATGTCTTTTAATTTGATTGGAAATTCAATGCCATCGTATTTTAAAACTTCACTGAAATGAGGATATGAATAGGTAATACGCGGATTTTGATTTGTACGACAAGGATGTAGCGCGGCAACGATAGACTAAAGAAAACAATATTCATCGTTATTTTGAATATTAAGAACAGCTTTTTTATTAATAATAAATTTTGGCATCGATACATAAGTTGAAAGACCGATATTTATCGGTGTATAATTATTAATGTTAACTTTTAATTGTAGAATCCGGTGAAGAGCCCAACCAGAATCCCTCTCTTGAAAATCCTCTAATTTTGTTAATATATTATTTTTAATATAATTACTATAAAATTCTTTCAAATCGGTATTATGATCGATGACGCGATTTTTGGTGGAAAAATGTTTTACATCGGTTTCGCCTGTTTGTGGTTTTACAAAATCTGCAAGAAATATTACGTTAACTTTAATTAGGGACTCCCGAAGGGCTTTTTTTATTTGACAAGAGAATGATCTAAACGCCTTGCTAAAAAATATTATAGGATCTTTAATATCTAAATTAACTATTGCTCCCGTTTTAATACGATTTTTAAAGCAAGACTCGTTATCAACCCAAATTAATTTTGCATTATTTTTTTTAACTGTTTTATGATGTTTGAATTGTTCTTTAAAATTTTTTAAAAGACTTAAATTTGATTCTATTTTTGCCACCGCTTTTCTGTCTGTCGACGATGACGATACACTTTTTAAATATTTTTTCAAAATTAAATTGTTTCTGTTCAGAAATTTTATCCACTTGCAATATTCATGTTTTGTTTTAATTAACTCACCAACTTCTTTAATTTTCAGCAGCGTTTTTTCACTCAACTCACTGATTTCAGACATTTTTACTTATACGCAGCAGACTTTTTTGTCTATTCTAATAGACGCGTATGTGATAAATAATATCACTTTGTAGAATTTTACCGCTTTTATCGGATAGCGGGGTTAGGGTCAAAACTATTATGTTTTGCGCAATTGATAAATATAACGTAATCGCTTTTAATATTATGAATGCACTGTGTTATTATCGTGCTGACGAAGTGGAAATTTTAGGATAGATAATAATTAAAAAAAATAAATGCATATAAATATATCGAACTCTACGACAAGGAATCATTGTACACAACGACTATGGACACTCCGTCAACATTAATTTTTGAGTCAACGGATCCCGCCAGACTTTCCAACAAGATGCTGGCGGTATTTTTAAAAAATTTATTCAGGTAAGTCTGTCACCTTCATTGTTTTGTTTTCCATAATTTACTAAAAATCTATCAAATTATCATAGGTATGGGAGGAAAGAAGTGAAGATTGTGAACAAGAGAGTTCACTTGTATTTGAAATATTCACCGAAGAATGAAACGGTTCAGGGAAAATTAAAAAATCTTCCCGTCCGATACCTGAGAGTGGCGGCCGATGACGAGGAAGAATTACAATTGTTATTGAAGGGGATGCGTGAATTCTCGGACGTCAATTTTTATGCGGCTGCCATAGAGGAGGACGAACCGGTACCGGCTAAAAAATTCAAGCCGGCTTCGGAAGAAGAGAAAATAAAAATTCTGGAAAACAGAATTTTAAAATCAGCCACCACTACGACGATGACGACGACTACCACCACTCCCAGTACCAGCAAAGTTGAAGATTTTTGCTTCGTTTTAGACGACGACGCGGAAGAGTTTGAAAGTCAAAAATTTAGTGTAGTTAGTAAATAAAAATATTAAAAAATATTCGAGTTATAACTTGTTTAATTTTTTCCATCACATGATAAAAATAATATTAATTGTTCTTATGGTTAAAGTTAATAAAACAACAAGTTTACTACGTTCTCTTCATAATCTGAATCAATTTCATCTATAATTGATTGTTTCATTTCACTCGGTGAATCGTAATTACTAATAGGAGTCGAATTAAATGATAACTGTCTAGGCAATATTTTTCGTTTCTTTTGAATTACTGATAGCGGTAAAGTTTGTTCTTCTGCTGCGGCGGCGGCGGCGGGCTCCTCCACTTTTACGGGAGGATGATACTTTGGAGTAGTTTGTGTTACATCACTTACTAGAGTCGTCTTCGTCGTCGTGGTTGCTGGCGTTGTTGTTCTTGTTGAATTTTGCAAAGAAGACTCGATATTTTTCAATCGTTTTGTAATAGGCTTAAACATTGTCTCTTGCATCATTTCACCACGTTTTAATTCTTCAAGTTTTTTTCTTATATCCTTACGTTTAGAAATTAATCGTTTTTAGTTAGTTAGTAAATAAAAATAATAAAAAAATATTCGAGTTATAACTTGTTTAATTTTTCCATCACATGATAAAAATCATTTTAATTGTTCTTATGGTTAAAGTTAATAAAACAACAAGTTCATTTTTTAAGATAATTTTTATTAATATACCAATTTCTCAGCAATAGTACATTTTCTTTGGCACAATTAGAGAAATTATAAAAGTGATTATTACAATGAAAATTATACTGGTTATTTTCTTTTAAACTTTTAAAATTTGGACATCCAATGTCATGTAAATCGACAATATCAATATCATTGTAATAAAGCAGTGATTTTAAATAGTTTACCTTACAACTGCCTTTAACATAGATATAGTTATTTTGTACAATGTTTCTAATAAAACTAACTACACTTTCTTGAGGTAGACAGGTCTCATCTTCTTTTTCATCCCAGGATAGTCCGTGGACACGATTCGTGGTCTTCAAAAGATGGTTTCTAATTTCACCTGTGAACCAGTTATACGGACAAGGTGTTTTCACCATTCTATGAAACACTTCTCCACTGGACACGTTTATAATTGCGATTTCTCTAACGATATAATCGCTCTGTTTATACTGAAATCCTTGAACGTCGAGGATAAACATTTTTTAAATGTTCTACGAGCACTACTAATTTGCAACTGAATCTTCCTCAAACCTACGCAACATTATTTATATCTATCCAACTATTGTGTTTGTTATCAAACCCCAACCACTTTACAAACACTTTATCGCGTTTCCTTTTGAGAATTTTTTCAACTAGATAAACGTCTGGAAACTTCACTTTTTGCAATTGTTCGTTGTAAAATCCACCGAGAATATTTTGATTATTTTCATCTTTTAATAAATACGTAGTGGGATTGGTTAGTTGAACTTTATCTACCGTAAAAATTTCCGTTGACCAATTTGGTTGGTATTTTTTATCGAAAACACCTCGCCTCTTCGATATTCGTACGCGATCGCCAATCTTAAATTTGGTATTAAGATTTGTCATTTTTATTCGATTAAACACCGTTTCCATTAGATTTTTTTCGTGCTTTTTTATAACATCGGCCGGTTTCATTTTAATTACGCTGTGATGTGTATTATTGTAGTTTCTAACAATTTCCGATAATATGTCGATCCATTTATAGTTTCCTCGTAGACTAAACTCTTTCCACATTATATTTTTTATGGTACGGTTCACTCTTTCCACTATAGCGGCCTTTTTCTCGCTAAATACATTATAATGATTGATATGATATTTTTTCATTAAATTTTGAAAGTCTTTGTTAAAAAATTCAGCTCCAGCGTCAGTTTGTAAATTTTTTGGTTTTTTGGTGGACTTTAAAATTGTTTCCATAGCTCTCGTCACTTCCGCTCCCGACTTATTTTTTACAGGTAGCGCCCAAACAAATTTAGAAAAACAATTTATTACAATTAGTATGTATTTGTATCCACGATTCTGTTTTGCGTACGGAATCATTTCGATAAGGTCAGCTTGAAACAGATCATATAAAGATTTAATTATAGTTTTTCTACGTTTAAAGTTTATACGAGCAGGTTTATGAAGTTCCTCGACAACTTGTCGCTTGGCATCCGTAATAAATTTCGACGGCTTCATTCTATAATATCGGCTTCGCGCAATTCTTCAATTAGCGAATTTATCTCATTTAAGTGACCCGTATGACCTGCAGACTGTGACGATACGAGTAGACGCAATCGCTCGACTAATTCATTTGGATCGTCCCAATAAATGTAATCTTTTTTATTGGGTGTCACTTCCATTGTTGTCATTAAACCCTTTCCCCCAGTTGTTGTTGGTGCAATAATATTTTTATATTTTTTCAGCTTACTTCCGTCAATTTGAGCATTGGGTTTATAATGTCTTTTGTGAGCGTTCGTTTTGTATACAATTTGTTTATAATTTTCCCTGTCTTGTTCGTTAAATAAACTATTGTTAGGATACTTTTTAAATAACAATTCGTATAAACCTTGAGTACCTCTGTACCGTTTACCTTGAACATAAATATCTGATCCTTGAATATCTACTTGTGAGTTACCAATAAAAAATTTTTCAGTACTTTTATCCATTCTAACGCCATACTTGTGATCAAACTCTCTATTTTCGGTATCTTCGTACATTTCTCGAATATATTTCCGTGGTAATGGATCGTATTGATCCAAATATTCAATAAAAGACACTGGTCCGATATCTTCAAATCGACTAGTAGATTCCTTGTCTACGTTTACTACGTTGTCTTCATAATCTGAATCAATTTCATCTATAATTGATTGTTTCATTTCACTCGGTGAATCGTAATTACTAATAGGAGTCGAATTAAATGATAACTGTCTAGGCAATATTTTTCGTTTCTTTTGAATTACTGATAGTGGTAAAGTTTGTTCTTCTGCTGTGGCGGCGGCTGCTGCTGCTGCGGCGGCGGCGGGCTCCTCCACTTTTACGGGAAGATGATACTTTGGAGTAGTTTGTGTTACATCACTTACTAGAGTCGTCTTCGTCGTCGTGGTTGCTGGCGTTGTTGTTCTTGTTGAATTTTGCAAAGAAGACTCGATATTTTTCAATCGTTTTGTAATAGGCTTAAACATTGTCTCTTGCATTATTTCACCACGTTTTAATTCTTCAAGTTTTTTTCTTATATCCTTACGTTTAGAAATTAATCGTTTTTTCAAAACTTTATCATTTTGTTGACTGATCATAGCGCTCGATATCACCGTCTATAGCAAGTTACGTTCTGAATGTAGAACCACTAGTGAATAACCTTTATAGGAACAGCTCTCTCTGATCAGGCGTAAACAACTTTTGATCGGGGACCTAAACAGCTCCTGAACAGGTCTAAAACAGCTCTTGATCAGGTCTAAACAGCTTCTGAACAGGTCTGAACAGCTCCTGAACAGGTCGAAACAGCTTCCGCCGCCGCCGCCGCGATAGGACGATTAGAAATGTATGAAGCAATCAAATGTTTTCCTATATCGACCTCCTTGATTAATATCGCAGTCTTTAAATACAGTTAGGAAACTAAACGCTTCGTTCCAGCATAAAGCACACATTTCTTTAAAACGTTCAAAAGTCATATCGGTACCGATATGATCGTTGTATATGTGTTTCAAATTTAAATCGTCTTGTTTGAAAATTACGAGACAATTAGCATTGTCTCTTATAAGATGTTTAGGTATTTTAGCATACGTTTGACATAAATAAAACGAATCAATTTTATTATGTCGTCCCATACTAAAGTATTCGCGTATGACATCATGGTTGTCGCACGCTACATCGTCGAAAATGAAAATACTGTTCGGTTTAGCCTCCGACGAATGCATAATGCTTTCACCGGCGTTAAATGTAAAATATCGAATACCTTTTATTGATTTCAGCAGTTGATCCAGGTAAATATATTTTGGTTGGTTCAAAGATCGCGAATAAATGTATACGTTTTCAAATTTTACACCGTTCTCCTGTTCGATTAAATTAATCATCACGTTAGTTTTACCGCAATTCGAAGGACCCACGATAATACATCTTATTGTTGCGGGAAACAATTTACCATGCCTCTTGTAAGATTTTTCGTGAAACGTATTATTTTCAATATCTAATGTAGTACTTTGTTTAATAAGTTTCATAATGTGATTGTTTTCTAAAACACCGTACTATTCATAATGATATAAAATAGATGACTTACAAACTTTTTATATTAGTTTGTACTAACAAAACGAACACACACGATCGTCAGCATGAAATGTTACGCATCAGGTAACGGTTTATTAAATACGGTAATCAACAAATTGCCTTTTGAAATGCATATTCCGGGGTATAATTGGTGCGGCCCCGGTACAAAAGTTGAAAAACGTCTCGCTAAAAACGATTCCGGCATAAACGGTTTGGACAATGCATGCAAACAACACGATATCGCCTATTCAACGGAAAGTGATTTAAACAAACGTCACGAGGCAGATAAAGTATTAGCTTCTAAGGCTTTAGCGAGATTTAAAGCTACAAATTCCGGGTGGAAGGAGAAAATTGCCGCTTTAGGAGTAACGGCGGCAATGAAAACAAAATTAAAACTCGGAATGGGCATTCCAAATACAGACCGCGGCGGTGGTGGTTACTATTACCGTTCCAGGAGATTAATTCAAACTTGTTTAAAAAAACTTCAAAAAACTAAAAAAAGTTTATACGAAATTGAGGATTCTTTAGCCAAGATGATAAATCAGAAAGAGAAAAAGAATATTTGCAGCCAAAAGAAGAAAAAGAAGACACAGCAGCGAAAAGAAAACAACAAATCGAAACCACAGACATATGAAGATAAGAAAGATTTTGATATCGCAGACGATTATCCATTAGATAGAGTTCGACCTAAAAGCATTCTAAATGATGATGAAGATAATGAAATTTCAAAAAAGAAACCTCGTATCGTATTAGTTCATAATCGGAAAAGAAAAGCTGCCACGATTGATAGAAATGAAATAAAAAGGACAAAAAGATTAAACGTAGAAGATA